CAAGAAAGAGAAGAAATACCAGGAAGCAAGGCAGGAAATCCAGTCGCTCTTAAAAGGAGTGGAGTGAAAGAAACAGGGGCTTGAGGCTAAGAGTCTTCATTATAAAGTCTCAGGAGCATTTGCTCCTCAGCAAAATAATAATAATAATAATAATTTTTATGCTTGTGGTAAGCAAACAGATTTATTTTTGCATTATTAGAAAACAGAGGTGATGTCCTCAAACATCATCAGTTTATTTTCTAAGTGTGTAATGCTAGTGTTACAAGCGTGAAGTGGTTTCTAAGAAACCATGTGGTTTATGGGTATTCTGTTGAAGTAAATGAGTGGTGGTAGCAGGACTTGCAGAAAAAAATATAAAATCCATATCAAGTGGTGAAACGGAGTTGAAAATATCACAAAAGGACTATAATATCTCAGGATGACAGAGAAATGAACTTCAATGAAAGATAAAATGCATGCTGAGAAAGTGGAGGAAAACTTGCAAGTAAACTGGGAAACCGTTCATGCTTCTTAATACAGTTCAAGGTTGGGTAGCTATTTATACACAGGTTTTGGTTTTTTTTTTATGAACAGACAACTGCAAAAGTTCCAGAATCAAAGACCAGAATATTTTGCATGAAGTTTTGGCTAGATTGGACCATAAAAGCTATGATGGTCTAAAGCAAGGATTAAAGAAACCAAAAAATTCTGTTTCAGATATCAATCAGTAGGTCCCGGAGCAAATCGCATGTCATCTGTCTAGAAGTGTAACTGCATCAAATGCACAGCTAATCACCTGCAGAGGCCCAGCGAGGAAGCATCATGTCATTCCAGATCAAATAATGCTGAACATCTCTGTCTCAGTTGGAGAATATCCCAGCAAAGCTTACTTGGCTCTGGTCTGTGGTACCACACAAATGAATGGCGGGAAGGGTGGCAGAAAGTGGACTTCCCGGGAACCAAAAGGAATGGGGCAGCTCTAATGTATCTTTGGGAACCCATCTCCACCAGGCGTCCCAAACTACTAACAAGGACTTCTAAAGCTAAATTGGCAATGGCCCATTCTACAGAGGCTCAGATGGATTTTATCTTGCATATCTTGATCAGTGAAAGAAGATAAATAACTCTCTTGAACGCTTAGAGTTTGCTGCAGAACCTGTATCAACTGTTGGAGTAGGGCATATGAGAAGGGAGCAAGTGTTATAAAATTGTTTGCCAGAAACCCTCAATGTACAGTTCTCATGTTCTGGAAGGAAAATGGCATTCAACTGCAACTCCAGTAATTTATCCATGACTGGTAAAATGAAGCAATGCTTAAAAAGTGTGCGGTACAAAACTCAATGAAAAGACTTTAGTGCAAAGATGAAATATTTTACAATGTGGAAGAGATGAGGGAGATGAAGAAAGAGTGAAAATGTGAATCATGTGCACTTTGGGTGCTCAGCACCAGGAGTTTTACTATGCAGATCTGGGGTCTGCTCTGGGTCAGCATTACTTGCCAATGTAGACATCACCATGAAATGCTGATAAAAGCACTGAAGTGGTCTTCAAACCTCAAAGCAACTGAAATTTTACTTGATTTATAACCAAAAGATTGCAGCAGGTGAATTTATGAGGTTTGGCTTCCCTCGATGATCCCTGTAGGATGAAGTAGGAGAGATGCCAATGAACTTCTGAAGGGTCTGGTCCAAATAAAATGATTTATGGGATATAACTGGGATAATTATTAGTGATAGGATTTCAGCATGTCTGTATCTGGGGACTGTGGAATTGCTAAAAGATTAAGTAATGGATGTCTTTGAAAAGTATTTCAACAGAAACAGTAATATTTCTCAGAAGTTAAGGACAAATCCCAAAGCCATTTCTTTCAAAATGCTGCAATGAGGCTAAGCAAAGAATTCTAACAATGTTAATAAGGTTGATATGAAAATCATTACTTACCTGCAGTAGTTAAAATGCTACTTCCTGAATGAGTTAATGATTTTTACTTTTGTTCCCTTTCCCTCCTTTTTCTGAGTGTTATTATTTTAAACTTCATTGAGATGAAAAGTGAAACTGAGATAATACAGTCTGTGTATTAAATTTAATTGAAATTCCCTATGGGAAGGTGGTTAAAACAACAAGCACACGATACAGCTCAAAACAAAACATGTGTAAGCAGTTGTTTTTTGTCATTTATGCTGTTTCTATGACACTTATAATATGGGAACAGTTTTATCTACTGTTGCATCATGGTAATAGTTTGAGCCTCTGTAAAAGAGGTAGAAGGACAAAAGAATGAGCAGAAAACTTAAGAAAAAATGGGCAGAAAGCTAAGTCAGCAAACTCTTATTGCTGAGAAAAGCAGAGGGAAGTCTAAATGCTGACCGAAAGGGGACTTGGAGCTGTAGTGAAGGTGCTGTCTTTGTTCCTTGGGGAACAGGAGTCTGTCCACTCTCTTTAGACAAGCAGAATTATGTCAAAAAAAATGCCTGACATCCTCCTTAACTTTTCTTCCTGACGAGAAAAGCTCCCCGGCATCAGTGTGGGCTGCGGAGAGAAGCTGAGGATGGATCCTAGCTTTCTAATCAGTTGGGATGAAGAATGTCTGAAACTGGCCAGAAAGAAAACCCTCCTGGGCAGCGCTAGAAATGCGACATGAGGGAAGCGGCGCTCGTGGTCTTTGAGCCTAGGGTGTCTCCTGCCAGGCCGTCGTGGTCACCCTTTCCTTTCCCGGGGTTTTGCTCCGAGGCTTGTGCGCTGAGCAGGCTGCCCTCTGTCCTGCCTGGTCACCTCCCTTAGCTCCCACCAGTGCCTTGGAGGGGAAGTGTGGGGCTGCAATAGTGCAGTAATCAACCCAATGTGCCTGAAAGACTCCACCACCCCTAAACACCAATAGACAAAATCTTATTCTTGTTGCTGGTAGAACCAATTGCAATGGACACTTTGAATGCTGCAGGGGTATGGACCTTGCAAGGCTCGCAGGACACTGAGTAAAATGGAAAACCCCCAAACTTTTGTTTCTTTTTTAGTCCTTAGGTGTGATCTTTTCAGCCTGTTCAGTTGCTTCTGACACAGAGGACACGATACTGCCAGATTGCTTCTGTTCTGTTCTCTGCTAATGTTTTCAATTGTTTTTTAAAAGCAAGTGAATTTGGATACAGGAATTTTCTGTATCCTTTTTTTAACCTAGGTCCATTCCATGCTCTAGGTGACATTAAATAATGTGCTTCATTTCAGTATCATTTTACATGGTTTTGATTCAATGTAAAGCAAAATTCAAATAATTTTGACTTTCTTATTCAAACATTGTTTCTTTCTTTAATAGATTATTGCAAAAAGAGTACAAGGGTGGAAGTAATAGAGCATACTTTTTAGTAGGAAAATACCTTTATGTTCTCACCTTTGTACGTATGGGAGCATTACTAAGCCTATTATTACTTGGGCTTACTGAACTCATTTGATGGACTCTTTTATCCTCTTTCTCACAGAATTCTCCCCGTAATGATGAAAGATTTTTATCAATTGTTTTTAAAAGACCGTACTGCCATTCAATAGATAGCCCATAGTCCTTTGTATCAAGATGAATTTGAGTGGAGTTTGCACCTAACTGTGTTTCTATGTAATGTGACTTTTAAGTTTACAGATCTTTAGTTAAATTTAGGTCAAATGGTTATTTCAGGGTAGTCTCTCTTTTCTCCAGCTGTTTGTTATCTTCACTGAGCTCTAGGAAGTGAAGAGAGCAAGGCCAACTCCCATTGGGATTATTGCTTTTACTTGTCAAGCATTTCTATATCTTTGAATTGCTTCATCATCTTTCTAGGTGTGAAGAGAATTTTTTAGAATTTAATGCTTACCTCAAACTTACAATGTGGATTCCCCTCAACTTTGCAAAAGTTCACTTTCAGGTTCAGGTTAGAAAAAAAGGTATAGCAGCATATTCTTTGATATTGATTGAATCAAAACTCAGGATTATTGATCCTGGTCTGGATTTGCAGTTTTAATTTTAGAACTGCTTTATCAACATAACAAACACTTAAAAAGCTAATAAAATTGGAACATAGCAGCCTCCTTATATTGGTGAATCACCATAGGTTTTGTATGGCCAACATGGCTCAGCTTTTTTTTTTTTTTCCCCCAAGTAGTTAAAATATATTTATCCTAGAACTAAGAGTTTCTGTAGAAAACTTAAAGAAAAGCATCTGATAAAGATTCCTATCTCCAATGCTGGACTTTCATATATTATAAGTTCAATCAACACCACAAATTCAACTTTCACAACACGTTCTGGGTTCTATTCTACAAGAGGATTCATCAACTTGTGAACGGATTTGTATTGCTGAATCCCGGCTCTTCCAAGATTCATTTAACTTAATCACAAGATCAGGTGTCTTTTTTTTTTTTTAATTAAACAAATTCAAAAATACTCTAGTAATGCATAGGTCTACTGAAATGTTCAAAGTAACTTGCAATTTCTGGTTACCTGAATATCGTGGCAAAAAGTGTAACTGATGCTGACTGATCATAAAATAAAAATAACTGTGTACGTGTTACAAAATAAGTGAGTTCTACGATTTCTGCATTCCATAAAAATAGGAATGTAGTCCTTTAGGAGAAACTGTCAAAAAAGGTATGAAAGTGCTATGCTTTTTCTCAGCACACAAAGTTTGTAAATGTAAAATGTTCATATAATCTGGGAGGACAAGTTCATTGAGGGAATACCCTCAGGCAAGTTAGAATGAAAATAATAATAATAATAATGTGGGGTTTTTTTAGAAAAGAAAATCATTAAAGGTCATTGACAAAATTATTACATCAACCTAATTTACATTTGAATGAGCCTGACTTTATCTCACATGTCCTTTACCACAAATAATAATTCTAAAATAGCTAAATTAAGTGATGTGACTTCCAACTGTATTATGCAGTATATAAAAAGTGTCCACATTTATGTCTGTTGTACAGCCACAGCTCTTAGTCTTTTTAGAAGTATTTTGAAGACACTTGCTCACTTCTAGTCCCCATACCAGCTCCACCATTGTCCCTAGTGCCCTCTCCTTCTTCTCTGGTTCTTACTCGGAGGCTTCAGGAGACTCTCTCGGTATTTTGTGTTTGTGTGGAAAAGTCGGACCATCTCATGGTCCTTGTTATCCAAAACTCTGGGTAGAAAGAGAGATGACTTCTGTGTCCTGCGAGTTTTAAAGCCTCGCCTGGGTCGTCCTTTCCCGTTGACTGAGACGTACCAGAGTCTCTCAGCGCTGGCTTTGCGCTTGGTGTTGCCTCCGTTGGGCACAGTCTGGTACAGACGGGATGCGTAAGTGTTATAGCCCAACTCATGGATCCTCTCCACAAACTCGCACTCTGCATTATAATTTTCCTGTAAAACAAACATGACAAAGTCTAAGATACATGAATAAGAATAATAGTTTGTATTCAGCTGTAAGTTTAATTTGTTTTGTGCTTACAGGTCTAAAGATGCCTGTGAACTGGAGACATGATCTAATTGCTGCCTGTCAACTCTTGATGTCTGTTAAAAAGGTAAAATTGTATAGATTTTTCAATAAGTATAGCTAGACTTATTGAAAGTCTGCAGTCTGTTAGGAGACTTGAGCTGTGAACAGCAGTTAGTTTTAGGGAACATCTTTACGTGCATGAGGTACTGAAAGGGAAGTGCACCCTGCCACCGAGCTCTTCCAAGATGTGCAGTGGCTCCTTTATTACTGCCAGGTCCCTGTGCCATGTGCTTCCAAACAGACATGTGCTTCTTCATCCTGCCTTCTCTGTCCGTGGGTTAGGCTCATTTCCTCAGTGCTTGCCCTCAAAACGTCAGTTCCACGATAAGGGAAAACAAATTCCCTTCCCGGATGTTCACATTTTATCTATTAAAATTTGTCCCCTTCCTCAGCCAAAAAAACTCTGCTCCTTTTATCTATTAAAATTTGTCCCCTTCCATCTGGTCCTCAGCCAAAAAAACTCTGCTCTGTATCTCTCTGCATCTCCCTTTTCCACTGTCTCGCCTGCGTAGCTGCCTTTGCCCCAGCTCAGGGTGCATGTGAGGCCCAGTGGGATAGAGGGGAACGGCTGCAGCGCCCTTCCCTGAGGTTTTCCGTGACAGCCGCCTCGCTGGCGGAGCTGGTGAGGACCCCAGTGCCGGGGCCGGCGCAGCCGTGGGCTCTGCAGGAGCCCTGCAGTTTCCCACTAGCAACACATGGCTGATTCTGTTCGCTCACCAGAGATGCTGATAGGCATTTAACAAGGTTTTAAAAGACTCCACATGTCTCAATTTCGCAGCTGTAAAACGGAAGTGCCCTCCCTCGCGAGGACAAGGTTTTCATATGCTGTGGTGCTGGAGCCCATGCTACTGCCATATGGAGGCAAATTTTTCTTGCTGTTTGCCTCAGTCCTAGCTCTAGAGGGTAGGTTAGCAGTCTGCTAAGGACACAAAAACTCTGCAGGCTCAGCTAACTGATCTTATTGACATGGAGAAATTGGTGGACCCAAGGATACCGAGAATGGTTATTCCAGCATAGTTCCATAAAATGATCCCGGCATAGTTATTCCCAAAGAAGCCAATCTCATTTGGAGTAGGGGGCCTGGCACAGATTTCTGGCAGAGGAGCATCACTGAAGGAGCCAGTCAGCTTTTCGAGGAAGGCAAAGCAGGGAAGTTTATCCAGAGCTGGGCCTTCAGCCCTCGCTGCCCTTGTGAAAGGAGAAGCTGCAGTGGGAAAGCTTTTCTTCAGCAGTTTCTTTAGCTCTGAAACACAAGTCAGTGTCTCAGGAATCTGAGTATCTCTCACACTTGAGCTGGAGCTGCAAAAAATACTTTTTCTAGTAGTGCAGGAGCTTTTCACAGGTGATGCTCCTTGGAACTCAGCTGAACAGCTGCGGTCTTGCCTTCTGGTATGCCTCACCCTGGAGAGGGATGTCCAAGAAAAAAAGACTCTCTGGGCTATCCCTGGCTTTTCTCCACTGTAGGAGGCTTTTTCACTAAGAATTTATTTAGTCTTATTTTAATTCAATCTAAATAATCTGGAGGAAAAAATAAAAGATATCTATTGAACAATAAAGATAGACATAAAGGCAAGAAAGAGCTCCAGAGCTCCCTTTAAAATTCAGCCTCTCCATTCATTCCTCTAGGGCAGAATCTGACTTTGAGCTGATAGAAGACCACTGCTGAAAAAGATGCCCAAATGTAATCAGCATATTTAGAGCCCATATTTAGCCTTGGCACAGCAGAACTAGTATGTTGCATTTTCCATTGCCAAAGTTATTTGTGGTCCAATTTTTTGTACCAGTGATGAACCATCATCTTTGTACATAGCTCCTTCCATCAGTGGGCATCACATGAAACACACTAAAGAAGCTGGATCAAAAATATTATCTAGAAAACACTCTTGAAAAGGTGGAGTAAAATACACTGAAACGGGGAGGTAACTGAGAGCTGCTCTTGTTGATTGTGTTACCCAGGTGGCATCTGCATGGAAAAAGCTCACCTTGCTCAAGAATGAGCCGTAGTGTTCAAACTAACAGAGCTGTCCAGTTGTTGAAGGAAGCAAATTTTACACAGCTCTGTTTTATCCCCTTCAAACCTGCCCATAGAGAACAGGATTCCCGGACCAGAGGAGAAGCTGCACAGTGCGGTTGTTAGACTATAACATCTTGTGTAATAGATCACAAGTTGCTAGGGATGTAATCAGAGACACCAGAGAAATTCAAGTAGATAGATAATGCATATAGCATATACAGTGCTAAGTACACACTTATCTGCCCCTGAGTGTAAAGCAGTATAAGCTAAACTGGTTTACTGACTAGGAAGATAGGGGAGACCAATGCTACCAATAGAGCCAAGATTTTGCCCCAAAGATCAGGAGGAAAGTACAAAGAAGCATTTGCTTCAAGAAGCAGAATAAGGTATCTTTGTACACCTTCTCACACCTCCTTTTCTGGCTACAGCCCTGCCTTTCAGGCCCTCTTTATTCCCTCGTTGCCTAACCCAGTACTCTGTGCAGAGAAGCTGCTATTAATGTCAGTAGGTTGCTTGTCTGTTATAGTCATCCTCGATGGCAGCTGGGTACTCTTCACCTGACATTTATACCCCTGAGCAGTGTCCCAGCTCCTCAGCAAACATAAGTACGGATCAGTTGGGGTAGAGATGCCAAATCTGCACCACAAGAGCTGGTGCAGTGTGTACAATTGCCCAGGACTTTAATTATGAGAAATACCTCAGCTGTACAGGCTACAAGAACCCAGCCTCTTTCCTCTGAGAATCTCAAATAGTTTAAGACTATACTAATTAGTTGTCTATAACAAATCCAGAGAGACATCTATTGCAGAGTTAAATGTTTTCTCTATAAACAGTTGCTTGTAAGAAATCAGTGCTTCCCCTTGGACCCAGTGTGCCCATAGCGACTCACAAGAGGATGACAGAGTCTGGAGTAACTTACTGATGCATAAAGTCTGCCGCGTTTGTTCATGGCCAGGTATCTGCCCGAGAACAAGCCCTTGATGGCAACAATTCCCACATCAACCGCAGTTATTTCCAGAATACCTAGGAACAGAAACAGTTGTGAGATGTTATTGCTCCCCACCATACGAAAGGTCTTGAGATACATCTGACTGACACTTACCTGCAGAGGGGGATTTCACAGCTGTTGCTAGCACACACCAAAATCATACTGCAACCATGTGAACAAAACAAGACTGTTTGAAACCCTATAAAACAGCAAGGGCATGGGCACTGCTTGAGACGAGGCACACAGTAAATCCCTAGATGTCTGATTGAGGTTGAACTCTTTCAAAAATGGAAAAAAAAATCCGACATTGAACTAGGGGTTCACTTAATCCTATATGTATATATAAAAAGTTTAAATCCTCTTTAATGCTTAGGCACACGAGAGCTCTTGACTTATTGAGATGAGCCACAAAGCTGTCCGTTCGGGACAAAGCCCTGGCTGGGGTCTCCAGAGGGTGGGACGGAGCGAGTCGGTTACGTTTTAGAGCCGTGTAGGTAACCGCGAAAGGAACTTGTCATTAAGGAGGTCGGCATAGCCCTCCGGCATAGTCACAGTGTGACTGCCCGAGTCAAACTAAAGGCGGGGGGCGGGTGGTTTCAAGCCCTCGAAGACGGGTATCGGATACTAGACAGTGTCAGAGGCGAGGCTGGCGCAACGCCGGAGCTGCCAGGGTGCAGCGGGAGGCAGAGGTGGTCCGGGGAAGATGCGGTGTCCGCGCACGGCTCTCCAGCCTCCTCTCAAACCCGGCTTTCACCCCAGCAGCTCCGGCCCAACAGCTCGGCACTTTCTACCCGTGTTAGGGAGCCCCAAGCCGTGGCTGCTTTCAGCGGCGCTAAAGCGGAGCCGGCCGGCTGGCCGGAGCGGGGCGCGCCTGGGGGAGCCGGGCTGCGTGCGGGCCGGCTGCTTTGAACCACGCCGCGCTCCGCTGCTGCGGGATGCCTCCCGCGGGCTCCGAGAGACCCTCGGGCTTCCTCTAGGAAGCAGCGTTTTTCCTTTGCGCAGCTCAGACGCATCCCCGAGTTCTCCCTGTCGCT